ACGGAGAGCCACATAGCCTAGGAAGAGGGAGCACACGGCGCCCCAAGTGCTCACCCACCCTGGGCGTGCCGGAGCAGTGGTGTGCAGGATGGCATCGGGGCAGGACGTGGCCAGCCTGTGTGCCCTTGGGACTCCAAGAATGCGTGGCTGTGGGTTGCTGACAGGAGAAAGCCCATGGGTGGCTGAGGCTGGGTGCTGTGGCCTCACCAGGGTCCATGGCCCTGAGTGGGCAGCCTGCCCACCGTGTGCCTGCCTTACCCTGCAGTCTGGAGCCTCTCTTCCCTGGAGACAACGAGCTGGACCAAATCTCCAAGATCCACGACATCATCGGCACGCCTGCTCAGAAGACGCTCACCAAGTTCAAGCAGTAAGTTTGGAGCCATGTCCACGGCCACACGGGGAGCTGAGGCGGGGCCTCCGCCAGCCACAGGCTCTTCCTCCCCGGTGCCTGGCTGTGCTTGGCCGGTGCTCGGGGTGGGGTCTGGAGCACTCTGGGTCTCAGGGTCTGAAGGGTCGGGAGTCAGGGGTGTCCCTGATTGGACACAGTCTGTGTAGCCCCATCTCCAGCGTGGGCCGGCTCTCCTGCAGCCACAGCCCAGCCTCAGCGGCGGTCCCCAAAGGCTGCTGCAGACTCGGCAGCTGGAGTTTGACCCTAGCTGGGGCCAGGACTAAGGGGCGCCTGTGCCTGCAGGCCACAGGCCGGGCCTGGGGGCTGGGGGTGGGATGAGCAGCCACGGCCTAATTCTGGGAAGGTAAGGGGTGGGGGTCAGCTTTGGAGTGTTTTCCTCTAACCTCTCCACTCTTCTCCCCTGGAAAAGTGGCAGTCGTCTTTTCTAGGACAAGTCTTTGTCCTTCCTTCATAGAGCCTCCCCCTTGTAGACATAACTGCGCCTCGGTCAGGGCCCCTCTAGAGATGTGCGGAGCAACCACCGGGTGCTATAAATAATGGCCTGACTGTTATCAATGGCTTTCAATGCAGGTCCCGAGCTATGAGTTTCGACTTTCCTTTTAAAAAGGGATCCGGGCTCTCTCCACTGACAACCAGTCTGTCCCCGCAATGCCACGCCCTCCTGTGTGCGATGGTGGCCTATGACCCCGACGACAGGATCACTGCCCACCAGGCGCTGCAGCACCCCTACTTCCAGGAGCAGAGGTGGGCGCCCCCACGGTGGGGGGCGCGCCCGTGGTGGGGATGCGGCTGCGGGTGTGCGGTGGTCGGTCGCCGCGGGAACAGCGGGGAGGACGCGCCCATGGTGGGGACGCAGCCACGGGTGTGTGGTGGTCGGTCGCTGTGGGAATGGCGCTCTGTCCCCAGTTGGGTTGAGGCTGTGTGCTCCTCGCTCCGGGCTGCGGCCAGTGGCTAGGCCCTGGTGGCCGAGACAAGAGGAGAGGGAGAGGGTGGCCCTGCCGGATGGGACAGGCCATCAGCCTCTTTGAGACTGACCCTGCAGAGCACTGCCTGGACAGGAGCGGCATTGCCCTGAGGCCGTCCGATCAGTAACTGGGGAAGGACTGGCTGGTCCCCAACTCTGGCCACTGGGGACCCCTGTGCCCAGGCTTCACAGAACCTCTGCTTCAGCCTGACCTGATGGTGTCAGACGGAGGAGCAAGGAGATTGCGTGGCAGTTCACAGGGGAAGAGGAAACAGGGAGACCCAAGCGGGGCTGGTGGGGACAGGGTGACAGCAGTGTGGCTGGGGTCTGAGCGCCTTCCCTTCTCCCCCCAGGGCAGCTGAGAAGCAGGCTCTGGCCAGCCACAGACGCACTTTCTTGCTGGAGCACCCTGCTGCCCTGGGGCCTGCCGACAATTGGCACGCAGCCAAGGAGGGCCGGAAGCAGGTACCAAGTCTCAGAGCTGGATCAGCCGGGCTCAGTGGGCCTGCAGCTGTGGGCCAGTGTCCGTGGGGAGGGCGCTGCCTGGGGAGGCCTGAGGTGGCCTCGGTGCCTCGTGAGCCTCGGTCTGGGCCCTTAGGACTCGGGTCTCTCAGCCCCACAAGCTGAGGACCCGTAAGCAGTCCCCGTGAGCAGGTCCGGAAGGCGGGGCCTGCAGGAGTCTGTCACCCTGAGTGGTCACTGTGCACAGAGACAGGGAGGGTCGGGAGTTACAGGGCTACCCAGAGCACGTGGCCATCGCCTCCCACCCTGCCCCTGCCCACCCCTGCAGGAGCACAGGGAAGCCAGGAAACCTGCTGCAGGACCCAGCTGGCGGGTGACGTCACAAGTGCCCACTGTCCCCTCGGCCTCCAGCAGTCCCCGGGGAACCTTGGTCCCATCCAGAGACGTTGTTCTGCAAATGTTTTGCTTTAGGGATGTACCTTCATTTTGTAATATGCCTTGCTTTTACCTGCTGAGTCTTAGCATTGGGCCACGTATAGCTCGAGGACCCCAGGGCTGGTACCACTGTTCGAGCCCTGCACTGGCGCTCTCTCATCTCACCCAGACTCCTTCCTCCATGCCAGCATTTACCGGGCCTGAGCACCCCGATCTGTCTCCAGCCCAGGTTTCTCTCCAGAAAAACAGACCCTCGGTGCCCCCACCTGCGTGAACGCCCCAGGGAGGCCAAGAGGCGACCCTCTCACAGCCCATCTTCCCTGACGCTGCTTTTCCCCATGGCTTTCCCTACAAGGGTGGGTGCCCACCCTCCCAGCAGCAGGGGGGTTCTTGCTGTCTTACCCCAGCGACGCTGCAGTAAGGCCCGCGGTTCCACCTGCTCATCTCACCTCCCCCTCTCCCTCCTGTCTGGCTCCTTCCTCTGGCTGTCACCACAGATGGCCTCCTGACAGGTGTCCCCACACCCCAGCATCTGCCCCGCCCCCACCCCGGGACTCTGTTCTCGGCGTGGCAGGCAGCGGGCCCTGTTCCCACGCTGTTGGACAGTGCCGCTATCTGCTGGTGAAACCCCAAAGCCCCCCGCCTTCTGTTGGCCCAGGCTCAGTCAGCACCCACTCCCTGTGAAGGACCAGGTGACAAATGCAGGGTTTCCTGGCCGGTAGCCTCTGTGGGAACCACCCAGGCTGCCACTATAGTACCAAAGCAGCTGCGGCAAGCACGCGAATGAACCGGAGACCGTGGGCCGATAAAACGCTGTGGCAGCGAACACAGAAGTTTGAATTTCATAGCGTTTTCATGTGTCGAGAAGGGTTTTTCTCACCCGTTAGAAAATGTAGATGCTGCTCTCAGCTCCCCAGACATAGACAGGCAGCGGGGGACCCAGATGAGCTGAGTCAGAGAGGGGGTGGCCGTGGCCGGGACCCTCTACTTGCACCTGGCACATCCCACTGGGTGTAGAGACAACGCAGGTTTCTACTTCCATGGAGTGGGGGGCCTGCCCAGTCGCCAGCCCAGTATGACAGCAGGCAGAATTAACAAGCTCAAGGCCCATCTTCAGGGGCCTGTCACTGGGGGCTCTGGCCATCTGGGCATATGTGTGTGGTCACTTCATGGTCACAGCTGAAGGTTGACATGTTTCAGAGGCAGACGAAGCCCCTGAGTCTGTGGTTTCCACGGTTTCCGTGAAGGGAAGCCGCCGTATGTCAACTGACCTTTCTCTGTTTTAAGAAACAGTCCCTAAAGCGAGAGGAGGACTATCTCCAGAGACAAGGCCCGGCCTGCCTCGTAGAGCTGCCCAAGCTCAAGCTCTCGGGCGTCGCGAAGCTGTCCCACTCCAGCCCCGCGCTGCGGTCCGCCTTTGCAGCTGGAGCCCCCGGGAAGGGGCCGGTGCCGCAGCCCCTGAAGCGCGGCGGTGTCAACAAGAAGGTAGCACCGCGCCCCGGCCCGCGGGGCCCTGGGCCTGCCCTCGGCCTGGGCTGAGCTCTGTCGTTTCTTGTTGACAGACAGAGATGCAGAGGGACATGAAGGCCGACCTGAAGCAGTGCCGTCTGCCCACCATAGAGAGGCGAAGGGGAGGCTACTGAGCACAGACCGCCCCTTCTCAGAGGGCAAACTAAACAGGGCACCATGTGGGGCAGAGACCCACCGGCTCTGCTTCCGAGGGCCTTCGGGCCAAGGCTGGGCCTCCCACCGCCAGCCTGGAGGCCCAGCAGAGGGCCCTACCTCTGCGGCAGCCAGACCCTCGGCCGGCCGGCCAGGAGCGAGCCTGGTCCCACATCCTGGAGCAGCGCCCCGCGCTGCCAGCTCAAGGCCAGGGCTGTGCTTGTAACTTCCGGGAATGGGAGCTGATCGGCGGGGACGCACGCTGTGCCCCAGAGGCTTGGCTCCCGTGGGGCTCCGTGCCGTGCCTTCAGCGTAGGGCAGTGAGTTCACGGCCCTTTCTCGGGCCTGCGCTGCACACTGCTGGGGACACCTGTTTGTTATTAAACACTAGGCTGTCTACTGTGGTGATGTATCGTTTTCTGGGTTGGACAGGAGTCCTTGCTGTCCACACCTTTCTCTCAGGCTTTTGCTGGTGTCCTGGGGGAGCTGACGGTGCAGCAAGGACTTGGGTGTGGCTTAGACCCGCTCCGTTTGAAAACACCTTAAAGGAAGATGCACAAGCTTTGCCTTGGAGTCTCGTCCCTCTGCCCTTGGCTGGGGAGGTGGGCAAGGGGCCGCCTGAGCACAGCTGGGCCTGCGTTGGTGGCTCCTGCCCTCCCCCCCAGCATGGAGCTGTCCCCTGACTCTCTGGGCAGCCTGTGCTTTGCTCCTTGAGGCCAGCAGTCACCTGCGCATCTGCTGCCTGTTCCCCGTGAGGATGGGCCAGGTGAGAACGTGGCCAGGTGGGTGCAGCCTGGCTGTGGTGGGGCAGTCACGCCGTCACGGCCCTTTGTGGCTTAGAAGGCACAAAGAATCTAAAGTTCCTTCTTATCGTCTGAAACTTAAAGCTTGTTTTTAAAAAGGCACATTTTCTCCAGTTAGCTTTTAGTCTCCTCGTTCGCTCCTTTAAGACAAACCTGTGCACGCCGCCCTTGCTTTTGTTTCCAGGGGCCCCATCTGTGGCCCCAACCAGGTGCTCAGAGCACCAGGAGTGATGGGCTTTGGGAAGACATGTGTGCCAGCCCTGGGGCCAGGCGGGGAGGAGGAAGGCAGGGGTGGGGCAGGAGAGGAGCGCCAGGCTGGTGAGTGGGGCCCAAGACAGGCCAGGTCTACTGGAAATGAGAGCTATGGTGATGGTCAGAGTTGGTGCTAGTGGGCAAGGTATGGGTGAGTGCCCTTTTAAACCCACACAAGGCCAGTGGGCCTCTAGGGGTGCCCTGCTGGAACAACGCATTGGGGAAGGCACTCTGGGGGGGGGGTTGTCAAGTGGTGCCAGATCCCGGGACCCCTGAGCAAAGCTGAACCTGTTCCACCAGACAGGGAGGGGCCAGAAATGGGGCGCTGTGGGGCAGAGACCTGGGGGAAGGGCCAGGAAGCCAGGCATGGAGGGGGCGGTCCCTGGGCAGAGGCTCCTTGACTGGCTGCTGATGTTGGCCATGAGAGCTGGCTGTCCCCGAGGGCTGGCCGAACTCAGGGTGTGTTGAAGGGCTGACAGGACTTGGTGTAGCTAGAAAAATGGTTATCCCCTCAAGTTTATAAAATACGAAGGAAAAATAAATCTTTAAAATTGTTTTTGAGAATGCAAACTCAGTCTGCAACCCTGGTTCCCAGAAAACTGACCGCCCTCACTCTCTGGCAGTCACCTCCCCAGGCGGGGAAATGCCCAGGGCTTCCTGGCTGCCCCTGACCTTGGGGATGTGACTTGCCTACCAGTGAGGCCCTTTGGTTTCCTGTTAGTGTCTGGTGTAAACACATAAAGCTCAGTGTCCCAGGCCTATAGCCAGGTAGCAGTGACCCCAGACTGGACACAACCCGCAGACTGGGAGGCTCAGCTGCAGTGCTGAGTTCTGGACCTCTCGGCAGAAGGGGGCATTTGCACAACTGCAGGCTCAGGTCTGGGAGCAGGTGAGTCCGAGGGTGCTATGCGACCTGTGCCGTGGAGCCCAACGAGAGCAGACGTCTCAATTACCCTGGGCTGTGAGGCAAGCCCCACCTCCTTCCAGCTAGAGAAAGGCAGGCGGGGGCTGCAGCCCCTCAGAACAATGTGACTGAATGGTGCCTGGCCCTTGGGTTGTCTCCAGAGCCCTGAGGGGCCACGAAGCAGTGGCACACTCCACCACCGACCGTGGGGCCTGCACTCACCCTTCTCCTGTTTACCACCCTTCACGGCCCCCGTCACCTCAGCAGATGGAGGACAACAGCCAGGAGACGACCCAGGACAATCACCAGGTGAAGATTCTAGACTCGGTTTGCAAAGGCAGCCTCCTCCTGTTCTCTTCTGTTTTCCAGAACTAGGGTTGGCTTCCTGGTCACTCATCCAGGACCCCAATTGTGGATCCTGTCTGTTGAGTAACTTTCAAAGCCCATGCTCTAAGATGACAGAAATACCAACAGCAAACTTGGTGTTGAGTGCTATTGAGTGGGGTCCGACTCATAGTGACCCCATGTACCACAGGACAAAACGCTGTCTAGAAGGGCACCAGCCTCCCAATCGTTGCTGCATCTGAGCCCACTGTTGCAGCCCCCATGTCCGTCCATCTCATTGAAGGCCTTCCCCTTTCCCGCTGCTGACCCTCTGCTCTACCGAGCATGACGTCCTCCTCCAGGGCCTGGTCCCTCCTGGTAACACGCCCAAAGTACAAGAGACAAAGTCTCACCATCCTCCTTCTAAGGAGTGTTCTGGCTTGGCTTCTTCCAAGACAGATTTGTGGTTCATCTTCACCTTCACAATTGAAGGCATCAGCTCTTCCCCAATCTTCTCTTTCGTTGCCCAGCTTTTGCATGGATAGGAGTTGACTGAAAATACCATGGCTTGGGTTAGGCACACCTTAGTCTTCAAAGTGATGACTTTGCTCTTTAACCCTTTAAAGAGGTATTCTGCAGGTTGGCCCAGTGCAACACACTGATTTATTGACTGCTGCTTCCATGGGCATTGATTGTGAATCCAAGAAACACCCTTTAGGTGAATTATTTTCCGTATTTGACACTGAAGCTAAAAGCTACTTCTCAAGAGTTGGCCGACTCATTCCAACATTTCCTGAGCATCTTCTCTGTTCTGCTAGTGGGGGTAAAATGCAAACTGGCTAAAATCTGCTAGTGTCTGGTTCTAGTGGGCAGGTCGTTCTGCGTGTGTATGGTCTCTAAGTTCTGGCTTCCTTCATCGAAGAAGATGGTGTGTATTAGTATGTTAGTCCACTTTCCCGGGAGGCTCCCACCACAGCGTCCCTCCCCAAGACCAGAAACCCCACGGTGGGCCACCCTTGCAGTCTAACCTTCACCTCTCCTCAGGTGAACCAAGCCAGGACCTGGGCTGACAAAGTCTTCTGAAGAGCCTCATCCTGTGGCTGTGATCATGTAAATGACAATGTGGGCACCTCGAAAGGGGGTAAAGGGACTCATCTCCTCCAGCTCCAGATTACTCAGCCCCAAACTGAAGAAAGATGTGTTTGGAGTCCCACCAAGTGAAAATCCCCTCCACAGTTCCAGCTGTGACTACAAATGAGACATGTCCTCCAGTTGGGCGGCTGCACCTTCTGTTGCGAGTCTAGTAACTGGCAGCGTCCACAGGTAAGTGTGGGCCTGGCCAAAGCTCAAGACTTGTCAAGACTTGGTTCCCACCAAATAAAACCCCATGTGACACTTGGCAAGCCATTTCAAGTCACTGTGCAGAGAGCAAAACACCTCTGTACTTACCTCAGAAACCATTCTATGTCAGGTCACAGGCTTTCAGTGACCCAACAACTCATCCTTAGCTTTGGGAAACTGAGGGCCCGATGAAGCTGCAGCCTGCACCATGCTGGTGACTGCCCCAACAGCACAGACACGGTGCACAAAGAGGCCCTGGAACCAAAGAACCCTCCAGATGTTGTGTTCTTGAACGTTCCATCTTAACTCAGACTGTGACTTACGGGGGTTCCAAGGCATGTAGTTATGAAATAACCCCAAACATTTAATTCAACAATTAAAACTCAAGCCAATTTAACCAAACCATAGTTGTATAAGGTAAACATTCACACCAGGTAGGTACACTCCTTAGAACGATCAATCATGGGAGATCAGAAGGGCAGTGCTTGTACAGGGAGAAAGGTCAGGGGGCCTAGGAAAGAATGACATGGAAGAGGTAACTATGGGGAGGAAGTGGGAGGAGAGCTGTTACACTGTGGGGACTGCAATCGATGTCATGAAACAAAATGTGTGTGAACTGCTGTATGGAAATGAATTTGCTCTGTAAACTTTCACCTAAATCACAGTCAAAAAAAAGAAAAGCCAATTTAATAGACAACAAATGTGGTATAATCAAGATAGTTTTAATGTTAATTTTTTTGTTTGTGATCTTAGAAATATCACTCTCAAGTGATGACAGTTACTAAGGAAGGAACCATTTCCTGCAGCTGCAGAATTATATTATTTATACCTATAATACAGTTGATGGCATTAGAAGCAACGGTATTAAAATAGATGTTAGCAGATAAAAAGGGTGTCTTCACCCCATACCATGGTGCAGCCAGTGGCCCATCACACCCAGACTTGGTCATTTTCTGTCGGCGTTCACCTATTTCCAAGGCAAATAGTTTTTGACCATGATGCTGCAGCATCTGTGTCCTGAAGGGTGTGCGGAATCCAGAGAGTGAACCCCTTCTTTATGACTGCCTTCCCACTTGTCCTCCAAACACCTGTGTTATAAAAACTCAGTGCAGCAACAGAGTGGCGCACTGTTTGGACAGTGCAGCCTCAAGGCTTTCTGTTTTACACTATGATCTGTGTGTATAAATTCGATATATTAAGGAGCTCTGGTGGCGCAGTGCCTAAGGCATCTGATTGCTAACTGGAAGGTTGGCAGTTCAAACCCACCAGCCACTCCGTGGAAGGAAGACAGGGCAATCTATGAGATTTAATTACATTGACTTTTAGAGTGAAAAACAAGAAAACTCCACTCTTATTTTTTACTGCAGCCCCCAAAGAGTGATTTAAGAATGGAAACAAAGTCTTTGTGCGAGCCCCAGCACTGGGCCTAGGGTCGCCTCCTCCGAGCAGGACTCCATGTTCTACGCAGGACTCCAGGTCTGGTCCTCGGCTTGCACCTGGAGTGCAGCTCGTCTGTTGGTCCGTCCGCTGCCTGCAGCCCCGCTGGCCAATGGGCAGCAGCAGTGGGGCTGCTACACTACAGTCCCGCCTGGAGAACTGGCCTGGTTTTGGGATGACAATAAACCCTGCAAACAAAGCAGTTCACGTTAATCCAGCGAAACTGCATGGGGAGTCACCTCACTCATCCTCTCCCGAAGTCTCTCAGGATCGAAGTCAGGGCAGTTTTGGTGTGGAGGCGAATGTTTTAACAAACTCCAGCTCTTTTCAACCGACCTCCTACCCACATCATCCCATTCCCAGCTCATCGAAATCTACTCAACTCAGGCCCCTGCTTGGCTGTGGGGCTTTGGGCCCCCCACTGCCTGTGGGTAGGAGAGAATGGATCTTGGGGCCTTGGGGGCACTGTGTTCCTTAGCATCGGCACCCCAGCTGCAGCCGCGGGCCATGGGGTATTGAGCAGTGTGACCTCTGTGGCCGTGGACGCACACGCAGCCTGAAAGCCGAGAGCCTCCAAACAGGGCTTTGGAAAGGTGCTTCCCTCCTGCTGGGGGTGTGGTGGGGCACCCATCTGGCTTTGCTCCTGGGTACCCAGCAGGCCGGGGCGGAGGCACGCAGGGGCAGGCAGTCCCACAGCAGGCCCGCAGGCCTGCCTGGCTGCTCGGAGGCGGCAAGACTCGGGAGGAGGTGCTGGAGCTGGTCCTGGCCAGTCAGAGGTGGCGGCCTGTGTCCCTTCAAGGTAACTCCAACTGCAAGTCTCGGGGACAGACAGTGGCACTTGGCAGACAAACCTGAGGGCCTCACCTGGGACCCAGCAGAGCACTCAGCTTCCCTGCATTTGTCACTGGGGTGACATTGTGCCACCATAGTTTGGCACTCTTTATTAAGAGTGATTTTAAGGTTGTAACAGTGAGACACTGCAGTGACACACTCTCAGGCCATGACATCGTCCTGAAGCCGCCTGGACAGGGCTCCAACTGTCTACAAACAGCAGGCCTTCAAGCACACACTGGACTTGTCACAGACACAAATGAGCGTGGCATCTGAAATGGCCCTTCAGCCTGGCTGGAGGCACCAGCAGACAGCTGTCCCACCATGGTCACTTCTCTGCAGCTGCTGGCTTACCTAGGAATGGACATCGATTCCTCTAGACAAGGTCAGGAAGCACTCGGCACACGGATGAGGCTGCCACCCCAGCTCAGAATCGGTGGGACCCGGGGGTCAGTATTGGGGAGGGGTGGGCTTCTCGCTCAAACCCAGCAGGTCCCGCCGGCCAGCTGGAAGGGACAGCTCTGGCCTGCCAGACCTCAGAGGTCCAGACAGCAGCACCAGGATTCTTCTGCAGTGAATGAAGGGAGGAGGTCTGTGGCTGGAGGAGGAGGAGGACGACAGCAGGGACAGCCTCTCCCTGACAAGCGTTGTGGGTGAAGCCCAGCAGGCAGGCTCCATGCTGCCTGGGACGGTCCGTTGGGAAAGACCTGCCTTCCCGATCCTGTGCTCTCAAGGAGGCCAGGCTTCCAAAGAGACCTTGAGGGTCATCTGATCAACCAGCCGCCGTGGACCCTCTCCTCCTCTGGGCTCCCCGGGTCCTCGCTCACATAACCTCAATCACCTGAGGTCAGGGGGCCGGGGGTTCTTTGCAGCAGGTTAGCCCTGAGGATGGCCCCCATGCAGCCATGCACATCATAGCACCCACCCCCAGGGCTGATGACAAGGTGTCCCCACCTGCTGGCACAGAAACTAGCCTTAAGTGTCTGGCCCACTGCTGGTGGGCCACTGCAGGGGACCCCAGCATTTGGCCTGATGTACTCTGATGGCACCTTGATAGAGTGGAGGGGCGAGGGCTGGCTCTCTCAGGCGATCAGCAGAAAGGAGAAGCCTAAGGACCAGGGTGGCGTGGGCTGCAGTGTCCAGACCCAAGCCCACCTGCTGTGCAGCCGTGGGCACCAAGGCCCGCCTGCCGGGGCCTGTGTCCTGGGACTCCTGCAGGTAAGGCCTGTCCCCAGAGGTGGTAGGCAAGGGTTGGGGACAAGCAAGACTTGGGAGGGGGCAGGGTAGCCCTGAGGACTAACAGCACCCTGACAAGCAGGGCGCAAGCCCTCCACGCTTCAAAGCCTGCCCCAGCCGTGCTCTTAGGTGAAATGCCTGCACCGAGGTGCAGCGACACCCCGCAATGGCGTTTCCCATCACCTGATCTGGCAGCACACAGTGCCTAAGGCATCTATCTGACTGCTAACTGGGAAGATGGGTGGTTCAAACCCATCAACCACTCCACTTCCAGAAGCAAGAGTGGGCAATCTCCTTCCATAAACATTTACTGGCTTGGAAAGCCAATGGAGGTCACCATGAGTCAGAATCGACTCAACGGCAGTGTTTTGGTTTTTTTTTTAATCAACTCTAGACTAAAGGCTGGGCTTAGATAAAAGTGGTGTTTTATGTTGTAGTCTTTTATATGGTTGTCTGCCTAAGACGTCCACTGTTCAGGCCAAAGGGGACCCTCTCCATGGAGAGAGTGCATGTTGGGCTTCATGGCCCCTGATTCAGTCGTAGGTGCTGAGTAGGCACAGAGCTGGCCCTGGCCAAGGGACTGTCATCAGACCTGGTGCTGCCCACTCCTCCTTCCCATGGTGACCCCAATGCTGGCGTGACTTCCCTGGGAGAAAGGAGCACAGGGCAGACCCCCGCAGGGAAGAGTCCTTGGGGAGGTGGGTGTGTCCTCAGCAGTCAGCTCCTGAGGGGGGCTGTAGGGCTCAGTCAGGCACGAGACCCTGCCATAGTGACCCCCGGCCCTGGGATGCGTCTCCTGTGGGGCGGGCGGCTGCAGACACAGGCACCTGGCCCCGTTCGCTGGGAGCTGCCTTCCGCTCCAGGCTGGAGACTGCGTTTGAAACGAGGTGAGAAAGCACTCCGACTGGCGGGCTGTGTGTGATCGCAAATTACAACGCTAACAGAACTAAAGCTCTTTCCACAAGAATGTTCAAGGAAGCGTTTTAAAGCCACCACCCCTTTTGCTGCCTGAGGGGAGGCAGTGGAGGTGGGCGACTCAGGCCAGAGCAGCCCTTAGTGACAGCAAAGGCCCGGGGTACAGCAGTCTGACCTGAAGGGCTGGTTCCTCGGGAGGTGCCCCTCCGGCCCCAGTTCCTTCGGCCCGGCCTGTACATGTGTGAGGTCATCACAGAACCTCAGTGAGGAGTTCCAGACGGGATGGGGCTCTCAAAGCCCTCCTGTCACCTGGCCGCACCCCCAAACACAGTAACCTGCAAAAGGGCCATGTGACAGGTTTCCTGCAGACACGCAAGTGGCTTTCCTGGAATCTCGAGGAAATGCTGCCTTGGGCCCTTCCCCCACCACCTCCAGGAGACCGGCCTGTGTGGGGCGGGGGCGGGGGGGAAGGCGGCACCCAGGGGTCACCTGGGGCAGCGCGGCCGGAGCTGTGATGTGACCCCACTCGACCTCGTCTCTAGGCGCTGAGCCAGATGCTCGGGCGACATGGCCCTGGCTCCCGTGGCGCGCGCTCGCTGAGTCCCGTCGGAGCATCAGCAGCTGGCTTCCCGCAAGAACCTTCCTAGTGCTGCACACACTTCAACAGCCCCAAGCATCCCATTCCGCACCACGCAGCCTGCGTAAGAGCCCAAGGAACCACGGCCAGAAGCGGCACCCCCGCGTCTGAAGCATGAGAGGCCAACGGGCCAGGCCGAAAGGAGCCGAGGTTCTGGACAGCGGTGGGCGCCCAGCCCGTCCTGGTGGGGGCATGAAGGGGAGGGCTGCCCCTCCTTGCCCCAACGCATTGTCAACGGTGGGGCGGCTCCATGTCCCTGTCAGCCATCCCCAAGGGGTCACATCTCCCCAAAGAGGCCATTCAACCTGGCTCCTGGAAAAAAGTCACCCCAAGTGCACCATGATCTTCTCAGATGACAAACAAGGGCACAGCCTGCTGGGCCCTCCTGAGCAGGCCTCTGGCACTCTCCCGCTGGGGGGCGGGCAGGCGGGACTCCCTCCACCGGGTCTCCCTGACAGGATGGGGCTGGTCCAGCCAGAGGCCACCAGGGTGGGGTGGGGAATACCCGCCCAGCGCCGGCTCAGGCCTGAACGCCCCTCCTGCAGCTGCACTCCTTCAAGGTCCAAACCAGCTCATTTTAAAAGGTCAGAATGTTGTTTTTTCAAAAAGCTTGCTGTCCACCTACAAGTCTTCAGGGCCTGAAGTCCGCCCAGTGCCTGAAATGAGCTCTGGGGCCTACGCACACCTGTACCGCTCGCCTCACACCTGTACCGCTCGCCTCTCCAGGTAGGGGCAGTAGAGGGCACTCAGCACCACAGGCTCCTGGCAGCACGGGTGGGGCAGCTGGGAAAACAGGAGCAGCATCCGAATGCCCCCCAACCTCCAGAGGTGGGAAAAGGTGGAGCAGGCTGCAGCTGCCCCCCGAGGGAGAGAACCAGACCCGGGGCCCCACCCCCAGGAAACGGCAGGGAACTGGGCCAGACGACTTGACAGGAGCCTGCGCCAGCCCCTCACCTGCCTGTGCTGAGGACTTTTGGGTCTGGGCCTGGAATCCCTGTCTGGAGTAGGTGGAGAAGGGAGAGGACATCTCACAGCAGGACACTATCAAGCGTTGGTTCTTCCTGCCCGAGGGACTGTCCCTGGAGGGCCCAGCATACTGCTCAGATGAGACAACAAGGATGTCTGCCAGAACAGCTCCTAGGGACACCCGGCCTGCCCGCCCCGCACTGGCTGCCCGGGCTTGGGCTCGAGAGCAACGGTAAGCAGAGTGGCTTCTGCAAACATTGCCAAGGCCTCTCGTTCGGCGGCATTTCAAAGCTCTGCTTTTTGGTTCACTGAGATTTCTCAAAGCTCAGATGTGAAAATGACCACGGGAAATCACCTACATTCACAAGTCATTCAGACATTTTATTAATGTCAGTATACAGAGGACAAGCCCAAAGCACTTCATAATGTCAAGTATTTAGTGAGTTTCTTTAGCTGTGACAGTGACAAGTGAACAGCTAAAAACAAAACGGTGAGGGCAGAAACATGATTCTCTCAAAATGATAAAGTAACAATACCGGGAGTAAAGCTTCGTTCATTATTGCAACAGGTAAGAACTTAATTAGGGACGCTCGGCACGGTTCATTCAAGTTGTCGAGAAATGAGATGAGAATGCACAGGAGCAAAGACACCTCAACTCGGACTGTCCCTGAAGGGAGGTGTCCACTGGTCTGCTCAGGGTCACTTAGCAGCACAGTCTTTAACAAACACACGGATACAGAAATCGGAGATACGCCAGGAGGGTGGATGTCATACTGTGAACTGACAGACAGCAATGCGAGATGATGGTTCCCGGAGCAGAAGCAGCGAGAAGCCACCCGGGGACATGCCCTCCGGTGAGTGGGGTGGGGCGGGGCGGGGGCGCCGTCATCCGTCTTCACCCGGGGATCTGAGTTGCAAGGGGAACAGGTGAACACAGGTACTTTCAGGCTGTGAGTGTGGACTTGGCTGCCCCCACCACCCGGGGGTGCTCTCTTGGCCGCTTTAAACCTGCCCACGCGGTGGTGGACCTGTCAGCTCCCGGTGAGGGGATGCTGGGGCCGGGAAGGGCCCTGCTGATGGTCTCCGGCTGTGCTGTCTGGGTGAGAGACAAGTCAGCCTCCACGTCTGTAACACAGACCAACAGGCCGCAACACCTTGTTTACTGTAGCCCCCCACATGCCGGGAGGGACACCCCAGTGGACACAGTGTATGTCTGCAGCTGAACACATGTGGCCGAGTGTGCCAGGCTGAGGGGTCAGTGCCCGGCACTGGTGTGTGACCTCGGCCACGCCCACACATGCAAGGGTGCCGCGCGCCTGCACCGCGTGCAGCTTCCACTGGGAGCCCCCGGTCACCTCTGCATCTTGTACCTCCCTGAGCCGCCAGGTCCACAAAACACAGCGTCCGGGTCTCCATGGGCCCTTGGCCAACCTCTCTGAGCCGCCCTCCTCACAGCCTGAGCCGGCTCCAACACCAGCCGACGGGGCCCTTCCCCAGCAAGCGCTCATGCGCAGGGGCAGGCACCTGCTGCCAGCTTCACCACTGACATAAGCCGGTGATTTGAAATGCCTTAAAAATCCAAGAGACCCCACAGGAAGTGGAGGGGGGCTTGGAAAAATGGCTGACGGGCCACCCACCAGGACCTGGGGTTAAGTAAGCCGAACAATGAAAACACAGTGTGTCCCTGGGACCAGCGTGCACGCCTAGTGGCCAAGCTTGGTCGCGTTTTGTTTCCGTAATTTCAGAGTCGGACGCCGCTGCCATCACAGCTCGTGCTTCCCACCGTCCAGCGTCTTAGAAAGCGTGTATTTATTCTTAGCCCAAAGTCACGGGAGACACTTCCAGAATTGGTTTGTTTTCCTTTTCAGAATGCTAGAAGGTTTAATCCGGACAAAAAAGAGACAGTTAAGACTCTGCATGGCTGCTTATGTAAACACAGGCCCAGAGGTGGCCTTCGCTTCTGAAGCACCTACACCCGCTCTTCCCGCGCGTTCATTCTCCCAGGGAGGTGTGGTTTTCCAAAGGAGCTGCCAACCTCTCGGGGGGCTGTGCACCCCCTGGCCCTGAGCGAGAGCAAGGACTCGAAGAAGTCATCCGGGTGGGACTGCCTGCGGGGTCCAGAAGCTGCCTCACCAAAGCCCCAAGCCTGGCTTCTGAAACGACTGGGAGGTGTAACAGCAGCCAGCCAGAGGAAGCAGGGACTAAAGGGTCCCCCCGGTGCTGGGAGCCCCTGGCTGGGCTGGGAGCTGCCATTCTAGGCCACTTTGTGCACCGCTGACTGGCTTCTGTCTGTGCGGGGCACCTGCGCCTTTTCACGACAAGCCTCCTCCTTGGTGGAGTCCAGAGCTTAGGTGGTCATGGCAACACTGGAGCCGGAAAAACTGCCAACTCTCAAATCCGGTGAGAAAAGTACAAAAATGCTCCCCTAGTTTCCAAGTGGGAGCAGCACAGCGCTGCATCCCCTAAATCTGAGCTCAGGACCTGGCTCCACCGCGCCGCGCCCCGCCCCGCCCCTCTAGGCCAAGTGGCCGCAGGCTGGAGGGAGCGAGCGAGCGCGGGAACCTCACGCCCTCCCCCAGCCCTCACTTCCCCAGGTGCTGAACAGCGCGCCGAGCGCTCGTCCTCCTGGCGGAAGGGGAGGGTCTCAAGTCAGAGGCCACCAGGTACCCAGCAAGGGGCGGTGGGGGGCCGGGGAGGGAACACAGCCCAGCCAGGTGCCAGGCAGAAGTTAGGATAAATGCTCCAGAGCAAAAAGGGGAAAGAAGATTGTGACCGAGGTCCCCAAACCCAAACCGTGATGATTCCTTAATTTGACACTGGAGGAGGGAGGGGTAGAGACACACACAAGCTGTCATTAAAGGGCTCATCTCAGAGCCGTGTTTGAAGTGACAATAAACATCCCCCCTTCACACTGACAGGTGCCCCAGAAGATCACGTGCACGGTCCCGAGCCTTCCCTCCTCCCCACTCCCCTGCACTGAGCCTGCAGAGTCAGGGAAAGGTGAGTTAGAAAGCGTCAAGTCACTCCAAGACCACGCCAGGCCCCCTGCCGTGAGCACTAAGCTCTGCGGGAGGGGCCCCTCCACCACTGAACAGCCTACTCACCTGTCATCACCACCCCGCCTTTAGGCTCAGCTCAGAGGCCAGGATTGGCCACCGGCTCCTCAATGCCCGGGAGGCATCAGAAACAGAGCCTCTAAGCCACGACAGTGCCTGCCACATTGCTGCCAGTGCTCGGGGTGCGGGTGAGTCATCCACCAGTCTCTGGGCACTGGGAGGCCAGCTACCATTCAGGAACATAGGGCCGTGCTTCTCAGGCAGGGAGGCCACCACCCCGCCAGCAGCTGTTCCACGGAGGTGGGTGCCCAGGCAAGTGGCCCTGGTGTTCACCAAGGAGGGCGCCTGCCGTCTGTCCCAAGGGCAGAGAGACCGCTGCCACAGGGCCAACGGCCTCAGTCACTAGGCCTGAGCAGGATGCAGGCTGGAGGAGCTGGCCCGGCCTCCACATGGTGGCGGGGCGGCACGTGGCATCAGTGCACTGCGGGCGGCGGGGCGGCACGTGGCATCAGTGCACTGCGGGCGGCCGGGCAGCACGCGCTGTCTGTGCACTGCTGAGACACGGCTCTAGGCTCCCAGTTTTCTGAATCACAGTCACTACTCAGACCAGCATAAATTATCATTCTCTCTCTATTTAATTACAAAGGTGTGCAAAACAGAAAAACAAACCTAATGCCCCAAATAAGTTAACAAATAAGATAATTACCGTTTTGACATAAAATATATATAGCTCAGAGAACCATCTCATCCATCATGAAAACTGGAATTCAAAAGGAAGTTCCGGGCGCAGCTGTAAGGTACATGGGGAGGTCACAATCAATACTGCAGGCTCCATGGAGCAGGTGCAGGGCCTGGGCCGTGGGGTCTGGGCTGCAGGGGAATGGGCCACAGGCACCATGAGGCCCTGAGGGGGTGAGGCGAGGTACGGGGCAGGCGGGAACCACTGAGGAACAGATGGGCCCCAAGTGTCCCAAGATGTGGCTGGAGCCACAACTGCCACCAATCCTAAACAGAGGGCCCCCGCCCCGGGGTGTGCCTACTGGGGGGGGGGCGACTGGGAGCCCAGCAGGCGTACATCAGGGAGTGGAACCAGGGTCTGCCCACGGCCTGAAGCCCTGGGCCTTTCTGACCAAAAAACAAAACACAAGAAAACCTCCTTTTCCCTTGTTGGAAAAAAGCATAAGCAACGAGCATCAGACAGACACGATCTCGGCTTATGTGTCAAGAGGCACTTCTGCCAGCAGCGGCGGCGTCCGCGCCCCCAGCCGGCTCTCACACTCGGGCTGAGCAGTGCGGGGCTTCAGGGCGCAGACCCAGTCAGAATCTCAATCAAAGTGCTACAAACTGCTTCTTTGAAAAAAGATGTTTATTAAACAATTGTAATTGTCATAAAATGACTAAAATGGGTTTTAAAAATTAAGGCTCTTCTCTTTCTGTGGATTGCCAGAACAATGTAAAAATAATGTCAATCACCCCTGCTGAATGCTTCATTCCGAGAGTGAAATTTCATAGATTCCTAAACACTGGATGATTAAGATAAAAAACGGGACGATCAGTGACGAGGAGCGGCCACCTGGACCGGACACAGCCCCAATCCGGGGGACAACAGTCTAATTGAGGAGGTGAGCAGAAGGGTCCAGGTAAAGCAGAAACTGTAATTTAGCGTTTGAAGTCCTTGTTCCCCACACTGCCATGATTCTGCTAAACTGAAAGTCTAATACAGGAGCACTAACCTTGGGACGCTATATACTCCCAGGAGGGTGGCTGGCTTGGCTGGCAATTAGTTTGATTATATATATTTTCTTTTTAAAACGCTCTACGGTGAATTATCAAATGATTCGGAAGTACATGGCATGCAGTATCCAAAATTATGGCTCTGATGCATTTAGATTTACATTAAGAATAACAAGTGTCATTCACATTCATTGTACACCCCGCCCGCCCACAAGGGGAGATCACTGCCCAGCGGACATCTAGCTCTGGCACAGCATTAAGGATTGAAACTTACCACTTTACCAGGCCTTCCCCATGTGCAAATAAATCCCTCCTGACAGGCAGTGACTACACAGTCTTCAAGAAAGATTAGCACAGTCAGTCTCTCGTGTGCGATCTTTTTACAGATCAGCGGCTCTAACAAGGGCACCTCTTCCATTCGCGGACACAGAGGCGTGCCCAGGGTTTTAGCGGGGTCCGTTCTGGTTTTGGTAACTAGGTTCAGTTTGTCGCTGCTCTTGCTGGAAATGTGCCCCATGCTGTGGTTGCGCTTGTGGTCTTTCTCGTGGTGTCTCTCCTTCCGGTCGTGCAGCGAGAGGGTCGCAAACTTGCTGACCCCGGAGGCAATGGCCCCGTCCATGACGCTGCTTTTGCTGCCGGCACTGGAGACCGCCGAGTGGGGGAGGCTATTGGACCGTGGGAGAGGGGGGGGCACGGAGTTCCCAGGTGTCGTGACACTGTTCCCATTGCTGCCGGTGGGGGGACTCGTGGCATTCATGACATTTGTGTGTGTCCTTGCTCTTGAGAGGGGCTGGTGGGGAAAAAGGATATCTTCTGTCAGGTCCCATAAACAGAGCTGTGTGTCCTGGCCCACGGAGCCAAACCGATACGTCACGCTCACAGGGCGGCTGTCCGTAGAGTTCCGTTTGGACAACCGAGACTGTGTGCTGTTTGCTCGGTCTCGGCCGAAATGAAGGAGGTCTTGGAAGTCCTCATCACTGCCACTAAACTCCATAGGGTCACTCTCTTCTACACTAGTGGTATAGGGGTCAAACGCCACGACGCTGACCCAGGACTTGTGCCCATGGCCTCTCGCTATCACGCGGCAGTCGACGAAAGACCAGACCGTCACCAGGTCATCCTCTCCACCCGTCACGATGTACTTGCCGTCGGGGCTCCAGCACACACAGAGCAAGCCCCCAAAGTAGCTCTTCATCGTACCGTGCAGCTCCACCGAGTCAAAGTTAAACACCCGCAGAAACCCGTCCTGGCTCACACATGCCAAGAACTTGCCATCTGGGGAGAAAGCAAACTCGTTGAGGGCCCCCTCGCCCACCGTCCACTTGAGGAGAGGGTTCCGGGTGGATTTGCTCTTGCAGGTATGCACGGCGAAGCTCTCGCCCTGCTTCAGGAGCTGATAGTGCGGGGCCGTGGTGCCACAAGTGTGCTCCACGTTATACAGGTACATGCTTCCGCTCGAGTGAGCGACCAGGAAAAGGCTCTCGGAGCCAGGCACCCATCTGACACACGTCACTCGTGACTTGTCTATCAGTCTCTGTGAAGACAAAGTGGAACAAGCATCATGATTAGAATCTTCAAAGTTCTGCTTTTCCAGCAAGAAAGTGCGGCTGCTTCCTGCGGAGAAGGGAAGAGTCTGTCCTGGGTGCTCCACACTTGGCCCTGCGGTCAGCCACACCGGCAGTGAGCACTGGCCCTTGGAGACTTACTTTCTAGAATGCTCTTGGATGTCAGGCTATGGCCTTCTCTGAGGGAGGGTCTGTTGAGCACCTGCTATGTGCCAGGCACCGCACCGGGCACTGGCACCCTGGGAGAGGCCGCCCTGGGACGACTTATTTACTACAGCGGGCATGTCTGTATCCTGCCTCCCTGCCTTGCGCTCAGTGTCCTCCTGGAGAACCCACAGAGCGCGATGCTGGTCCCTCCCCGTCTGGGGGCCAGTGGGGGCTCCCTCTGCCTCCTGAGGGGGGAGCCAGGGGGCAGCCTACTGGCAGCAGAGCGCACAGGAACTCCGAGCAACTCCCTGGGCTCCAGTTCAGCCCTGGGTCCTCACACCTCCTCCCTCGTGTGCACGGGCTGGGGAGACAAGCACTCCCTCAAATTCCTCTCTGGAACCAGGTGGTGTTTAAAGCAATGAACAGACATTAATTCAGAAGCCTGTGCCTAACTGATGGCACTCTGCTCTGTGCCAGCTGTGGCCCAATGACCAGTCAGTGTTCTCTCAGACAGACCCAGATCAGCAGGACTGCCCCTGAAAGCGGGAGAGCGAAGCATCCCACGGCAGGGTGCCCATGGTGCCGGCCCAGCCCCTCAGGAGGTCGCTGGCCCAGTGCCGCCACAGGGAGTCCCCCCAGTGGCCCATCCCAACATCACATCACCAGAAACCATCCAGAAGTCCCACAGGCCCAAGGTTCTCCCCAGAAATGCTCTGCACTGCACTACCACCACGCACCTGGCCCTCTGCAGCCAGGAGGACGCTGATGAGCTTAGGTGGCACCCTGTCCCCTCTGGCTGGGCCCTAACGGGAGTCTCAGAGGGAGCCGGACACTGGCGCACACCTTCCAGACAGCACATGCCAGCACCAGCCGTGCAACCAGCCGCACTCTCTGGACAGCTCTGCCATCTGTGGCGTGTGCCACACCCTCACCTTTCAAGGAAGCTCGGGGGGGCGTGCTGAGCCCTGTGAGAGCTGCAGGAAGGCAGAGCTCAGGCCGCCACTAACAAACGACTCTGCCAGGGAAGAACAGGGAGGCCTAGAAGGAGAGGCCCAAACCGGGCAGCACGTGGGCCCAGGGCGCTCGGGGACAGTGGGTTGGGCAAAGCGCACTCGGCAGCTGTGTCACTGCTCATCATTCCCAGGGTCACAGCCATGGGGACAGCCCTGTTAACAGGAATGTGACAAGCCAGCCTGGAGGACAGGGCCAACATTTTTATCCCCTGCCTCTTTCCTTTCCTGCTTGGTGACCTATCTGGAAAGGCACCAACCCACGTGAATGCCGACAACCTAACCACCTAACCCTCCTCGGCAGGTTCTCATCAGACCTGCATTGCTCCTTCTGCAGGAGACGGGGCACTGGTGATCCTGCTGATTGGGCAGGGGATGATGCTAAGACTCCAGCCCCACCCTCTCCCCTCCCTGAAGCTCCACCAGGCCCCACAGTTACAGCCTTGCTGGGCCCACGGACCCTGGGCCCCCCCGGCATCACCACCATGACCGCACAGTCCAGTGTCTGGGCTGCACAGCTCTGCCACATCAGTGGTCCAGTCAGGCCAGCCCAAGAACTGCTCAGGGCTGGGGGCCGGCCTGCTGCAGTGGCTCCTGATATCCACACCAGGTAGCTCACCAGGACCCAAGCAAGCCCCACCTACCCCCAAATCATGTCTATGTTAACAATATCACTGTATTTTTCATGTACAAAAAGTTTCAAGTTTAATTCTAGCAGTACGGTTAGGAGTAAATTTTATTTTTGGCTTAAAAAAAAAAGACAACAAAAATAACTCCATCAGAACACGACAACTGCAATATTGTCAAGTGACAACACTGTCACACTGCAATGAGGAGGGAGAGAACATCGCTGTGGTGACAGACAGTACAAACCTGATCCCGTACCGAGAGCTGCCTTGAGACCACTGTGAGGGGTTCCGAGGGAGCCTAGGAATCAGGCCTGTTGGCTGTATGCTGAGTGCCACCACTGGGGTCTAGCTGGACACGTCAAACGCCAGCAATCAGGACTCCGGGCTATCAGTTCAGGCGGAGCAGACAAAAATCGAAAGGCCTGGGGACAGCTCTCCCGCAGCACGGGCTCCTCGTCTGCCCTAAGCACTGTGCAGTCTGTGCATGAGGGTGGGGGCATGTCTGCTTCCGCTGGGCCACCTGGGCCTGACCACGTGTGTCTGTAAGCAAACCAACAGCAGCAGACCCTGGAGGAAGCGGACCTTCCCACCGAGCATGCACCACAGCAAAGGGGCAGGGCTGTCACGTGCATGTGCACACACACTCTGCAGTCCTGGACGGCCATGCCAGGGAAGGGCAGTGTGACAGTCTGACCTCCTCACCTACACTCCAGGCCCTGTCCTTCCCAACCACTGTCCCTAGTTTCTCGTTTAGCCCCCTGGAGTGTCTTCACGCACGCACAAGCCACGTATGAACAGAGATTCCCCCCCAACTCTCTCCACATGAGGAAGCATCCTGCTTTCCAGTCAGCAACACATCTCGCAGGTCTCTGTGCTGGCACAGACGCCACGTCCTCCTTGGCTGAAGCTACTGTGACCGAGTTTAAAGTCCCCGCTGGTGAGCACTGCTCAGCTGCCACCTTGTGCCATTTCAAACAATGTAGCAATGCCAGCTTGTGGTACGTGGGCATTCACATGCACGCTTACACCTGCCGGATCCATTCTCACCGAGACAAAGGGCACACCCACTCACAACTGTTACAGATACTGCCCAAGTGCCTCCCCTAAGGGACGCACATCTACACTGCCACAGTCACGTGAGTGCCGGCTTCCCGACAGGAAAGGAGCAAGCGCTGCTCCATGACTATAGGGCCACAGGCTCAGAACAGTCGAGACCCCTGACGGAGAGTGAGCCCACGCCTTTGGTCACCGTGTGTACACGTGCCACCACGGACACAGCGGTGAATGCAACACACTGGGCCCTCTGCGGCCTCTGCCGCCCAGCAGAAGGAGAAAGCATTTCAAAGAGCAGACCGACAGAGCCTGCCAGCAGACAGAGGGCTCCGGAGAACCACCAACACGGAGAGAAGAGATGAAGTGCTGCTGGGTTTGGGGGTGGGCAGTGAGAGCCCAGCGACTTTGCAGAGTTGGTCACCACGGGTGACCC